TGTGATTGGAGATGGTCCCCACACATCTGTGTGAACCAATTCAAGTGGAGAATTATACACAGTGTCAGATGAAGAAGAAGGTAAAGAATGAGATTTAGCTTGTTGACAAGAGCTGCAAACAAATTTGTCTTTCATTGAAATTGAAACATTACAAGATCTCATTACTTTAGACACTACATCAAAGGCAGCATGGCCAAGTCTAGAATGCCAAAGCGCTAGATCATTTTTTTGATTGAAAGTAACAACATTTGCAGAAATTAAAGAAGGTGGTGATGTCTTTTGACTTGATTGAGATTTGGAGTTGGTGCTGTGGAAATCAAAGCTGTAAAGGCCCCCTTTAAATGAACCTTGGAGAAGAACTTGGTGTGTAGCTTGATCCTTAACAAAACAAAGATGTGGATAAAACACAAAGTATACTGAGTTATCAAGAGCAAATTGAGAAACACTTAGAAGGTTTTTAGTTATGGTGGGAACATGTAAGAGGTTTTTGAGAAGAAAATGTCTTGAATGATTAGAATTATCATGAATGTATGAATTGCCAATGTGTGAAATATCCAGACCTCATCCATTGCCCACATGAAGCCTGTTTGATCCCTGATACTCTGATGCTAAGTTGAGATTGGAGAGTTCATTGGTGACATGGTTGGATGCACCAGAATCTGCAAACCACAGAGAATCTGTTGTTGGGTCAGGTGAAGTGACCAAGGCATTGAAGTGTGAAGGTGCAGTTGAGTTGTGATGGGAGTTGGAAGTGGGGTGAGTCTAAGCTGTTTGAGCCTGCATTGTGGTAGGAGGAGGATAAGTGCTGTCATATCTGTGATAGCACCTGTCAGCAGTGTGATTGTTGAGGCCACACAGTTGGCATGAAGGTCTAGCATTTGAGTTTCTGTAGCCTCTACCACCTCTCCCTCTGTAGTTATTTGTTCTCCCTCTGCCCCTTTGATTAGAGAAGGCTCCTCTTGAGTTTGTAGTGGGAGGGAAATGAGAGGGAGGTCTTGGAGTAGAGGTGTTGTTCATTGCTAGGTTGACACTAGGCAGGGAGCCATCAGGATTCACTATAGGTTGAACAGTAATATCAAGTCTAGACTCAAGGCTGAGTAGCATAACATATACTTTATTGAGAGAGTATGGTTCAATTCTTGAAGTGACAGCAACAACAGCAGGGTTATACTCACTCCCCAAACCAACAAGTATATAGAGAATATGGTTTTGTTCTGAAACAGGCTCCCCAGCAACACCTAGGGCATCACAGCAGGCTTTGACTTTGCCTAAAAATTCTCTCATGGAGGTAGATCCCTTCTTTAGGGTTTGTAGCTGAAGTTTGTGGTGCATCAATCTGGCTTTAGAGAGGCCAGAGAAGTTAGACTCTAGGGAAAGCCATACCTCACGAGATGTGGTCTTGCCAACCATCATGATAAGTAGGTTCTTACTCAGGGAAGAGAGTAGCCAAGACATAAGGAGTTGGTCTTGTCTAACCCAAATGGCAAACTCGGGGTTGAGGGCAGGTGGATCTCCACTGCCAGATGAGAGAAACCTCGGTGGAGGAAGAGAATCTGCAGCAATGAAGTTCTCAAGGCCATAACCCACTATAGCACTGTATGTTTGTTGCTTCCACTTCAAGTAGTTTGAATCTGTGAGCTTGATGGATATAAGTTGGTGTTGGGGATGAATAACACTGGATGGATTTGTGTTCATGGTGTTGATGTTGCTGTCTGTTGATGTGTGAGAGGCCATGTCTCGAAAAATGATAGCAGATCTGAGGATAAGACTAGTTTTTTTTTTTTTTTTAATGAATGAGATCTGAAAATGGAGGTGACCGGTGAGACGGATTGATTTGTCCCAGGAGAAAAATAAATGCTCTAGATACCATGTTAGAGTGTTTGAGTAGCTAAGAATTAAGAGAGAAGAAGGAAAGATGTGCAGAGAAAATCAAGAAGGAATCTGCCATTTTCATGCAAGGTTTACATCTCATTTTCTTCCATTAATTGTCTAGGTTACAAATAAGGTAACTTTCACTTATATATGCATCTACAGTCGATCCAACGGTTCTCATTGCATGAGACCATGATTCTTTAAATCT